ACACACACAGACACACACACAGACACAGACACACACACAGACACACACACACAGACACACACACACACTTCACTTGAACCATCAACCCAAATGTGTTTCTGGAAAAATACTGAGCCCTGTTCCCCAGAAGATACTGGTGACAAACAGAAAGCGTCATCTGCTCCTACCCACAGAACAAATGGCGGCAAACCACCACGCTAGAGCTGCCCGCGCTACTGGGGTTGCTTGGTCTCAGATACGTCAAGTAACAGAAAGAGCCTGAGGAGAGGCACCTAATGGGATCGGGGGATCAGAGCAGGAAGCTGCCCCACGGGGTCACAGTAGTAAAGGAAATCAGAGTCCATACGCAGAAGGGCACAGTCTTGGGGAGCATGAGGTGGAGATAGAATGAGGTAAAGTATCCATGCCCCACGACTTTGCCTAAAGGATCTCAGGTCGGTTACAACAAAAAATGACACAAAAGGCAAATACACCAGGGCCACTAAGTTGCGGGTGCCGAAACTGGGTCTGTGTGTGCTGGGATTCTAGAGAAGTAGAGAAGCAGCGAAGCCAGCTGCACCAGAGGGAATACTCCAAATACCCTGGCACCAACGCCCCTGCCCCCCACGGTGATGTAAAGAAAGAAGCCCAGGCGCTCATCTTGAGGGGGGCACCCAGCTAGAGCCCACAGCTTGTCGTCATGAATGAAACCACACGGCCACCCTGCGGAAGGGCCTGCTCCCTAAGGCTTCGGGCTGTCCCTGGAGATGACATTGAGAGCAACGGTGTGGTAGCCTCTAGGCTTCAGGGGACCCCGAAACCCGAGCAGGGCAAGAAAGGCCAGGCCAAGCCATACAAGCGGCCAATATATGAAAATAGGCTGACGCTGACAAATCATCGGGGAATGCAAGTGAAGTATCATGTTAAACCCACTACACTGGCAAAAACTAAACACTTGGGTGATACTGAGGGTCGGCAAGGGGCACAGCTGGTGGTTAGGAATGAAAATCAGTGCAGGCTTTTTGGAAGGCTCTTCACAGTGTCTATCACAACTTTAAACGGACATAGTTGATGGTTTGGTGGTTCCTGTTTTCAGTGTCTGCCTCAGGCTGCCTCCTACATTAGGAAAAATGTACCAGGATATTCTCTGCAGTTATTTGTAAAAGTAAAACATAGGAAACAAACAAAATGCCCATCTGATGGCTGAATAATCCATGGTATGTCCAAACTGCAAATGTTACTCTGCTAGGAAAAGTGTGTGCTGAGATATTTTTTTAAAAAGATTTTATTTGTTTATTTTAGAGAGAGGTGGGGGGAGGGGCAGAGCGAGAGGGAGAGAGAGTCTCAAGCAGACTCTGCGCTGAGCGTGGAGCCCGACTCGGGGCTCAGTCTCACGACCCTGAGATTACGACCTGAGCCAAAACAAAGAGTCAGACGCTCAGTGGACTGCACCACCCAGGCGCCCCCTGATATATTTAAGTGAAGAAAAAAATGGTTTGCCAAACAATTTGTACAGTATAAGCCACTGTATGCTTTAAAAAAAACCTGTATGTGTTTGTGTAAATTATGCATGTGTAAATGCAAAGAGAAAGGTACCAAATTAACCATGGCATTTTTTTCCTGTGTCTGTTGGCCATTTGTATGTCTTCTTTGGAGAAATGTCTGCTCATGTCTTCTGAGGGCAAGGCTGGGTCTTGGTCACTCAAGGCCCCACTGAGCCGGAGGGCCTCTCCAAAAGAAAAGAAGTAAAAAAAAAAAAAAAAAAAGGCAGAAGGAGGAAAAGGAGGAAGAGAAAAGAGTGACCAGAATTAGGGTCCAGCTCCACCCTGCATATCTGGGGGACCTTGAGTATCCTGACTTCTCTGAGCCTCAGTCGCCTCAACTGTCACAGGGAGTCATGACCCTTCCAGGGCAGGGGCCGATCACACGCGTGCAATTGCTTGGCGCAGGACAGCGTTGTCACCTCTTCACCGGAAAGCAGGGGGTCCTAGCGGGCTCTTTGGAAACGCACGCAAGACCGTTGAAATGCCGGAGGATGAGGGCGGAGACCTTGCCAAGCTCACACCGGACTCCCTCCCCTACCCCGCCCGGTCCTGTCCTTCCCGTCCCTCCCCCCACAACCCACCCCAGCTGCCCCGCCCCGCCCCGCTCCCCACCCGCCGCCAGCCTGGACGGTCTCAGCAGCGTCCCGCTGGGACCAGGTGTCCCGGGCGTGCCAAGATGCAGCCGGGGCTCTGGCTCCTCCTGGCCGCGCAGCTCGCAGGTAAGACGGGGAGACTCGCGGGGCGCGCGGGGCTGGAGCTGGTGGTCTGCCCTGGACCCGGGAAGAGCCCGAGCCCTAGAGTTCAGAAAAGGCTGTCCCGGTAGGATGCAGAGCCCAGAGGCGGGGGCTGTGGGGGTCCCCGGGAGGCGGCGCGGCAGGCACAGACCCTGAGCGTGGAAAAGAAATTCATCTCCCCAGTTCATTACTCCAGGGATCCCTGAAGCCCTAGGATTGAGGCTACTCTCCCCCAAAAGCGTGGAGGGGAGGGAAGAGAGGAGGCGGGGGAGGGGAGGATTTGAGAAGGAAGAAAAGAGAAAGGGGAAGGATATACAGAGAGGAAAGAAAAAACCGCCCTTGTCTAGGGTTCCCACAGGGATGTGCCCCCAGGAAGGTTCCAGAGGCTCAGTTTGGCTTTGATGTCCCATACTTGGCCCAGGGTTCTGTTGAGACATTTTTAGTACTTCCGGGGAAGTACTTGTGGTACAGTCTGCCAAACACCAAGCTACTGCCCGCTCTCGGACAGGTGTGGCCGAGGATTCCCTCGGGGTTCCCTGGCTTGTGGGAGCTATGTGGTGCGGCTCCCAGAACCAGCTGCGCGGGAATTGGAATGTTGCAGTCGGAATGTAGCGGGGAGTCTCCACTGTCCCTCTCATAAGCCCAACCAGACTGCCTCTTGGAAGAAGCCCCTCCACACCCCAAACTGCCCACTACCCTGCGGTTGATTGCTCTTTTCCCCAAAAAGCCCAAAGCTGGTCATCCTGCCAACAGTGACAAGGTCTGCCAGCCCCCTACTGTGATCCGGTGAGCTCAACCCCATCTCAGATAGAAGCTAGTCCAGGCCATTCAAAACTAGTAGTTATTGCCGATTGTTTTAGAAACAGCAGGTCCCTCTGAGTATGGAATCACTGGGAGAGGGTCAAATGAATTCCACGAGACCACCTGGGTATCGAGGCCTGGCTCTGTGTCTGGCACGGAGATGGGGCTTGGCCATGCTGGGTATTCAGCCTCCGGGGACACAAGAGAGAGACCAGGGTGTGTCACAGCAACAAGCCTGCATGTCAGGACACAGGAAGGGGAACATACACACAAAGCCTAGGATCCTTTTGGGCCCCTTTACCCCTTAAGGAGTCACTTCTAGGCTTTCTTGCAAGAACTTCAGGAGTCTGCATATTTGCAGACCCACTATGTGCACAGGGGGACAGGACAGCGATCCAGGAGAGGATCACAGGTCTCCTCGATTCAGGGAGTGACTCAGAGCTCAGGTTCTGTGGTCCCAGACTTGGGTTTGAATCTGGATCCATCACATACAGGCTATGTAACCTTGAGCATGCCCATAACTTTCCTGAGCCTCTGTTTCCTGTGTAAAATGGGTGTAAAACATGATCTGGTGAGGATTAAGTGACATAATGCATGTACCATGCTGGGCACAGTTCAGTACAGATTGGCATCATTGTTTCTTATTATCTCCCCCAAGATGTCAATAACCCCCAAACAGTGAAGAAGCTCTGCTCTGCTGAAAAGGCAGGATGGTGTTTAGGGAGAAAAGAGAAGGCCCAGTAGGCACGTGGGCACCAGGTACCATGTTATTCTTGGTGTGCGCAGAAGCTCGGAGTGGCCTGTGAGTGGAACCAAAAAGCTTACGTTTGTGGCCCACTATGGGGCCATGAAGCCTGAGACACAAGCATTGTCAGGATTGTGACTCTAGGCCGCTGCCTCAGTAGGCCACCTCCCCTTGGGTACACACACACACACACACACACACACACACACACACACACACCCTCTGGACTCCTGTGCCCTCCCATGCCTTGAAGTTCCTAGGTCTCTGCCCCGGTCTGTAGGATCTCCCTTTGCCCCACAGCTAAAATGGAAGGCTCACCAGGTCAGATTCGGTGTGTTGGACTTGGCTGTGAAGGACCCATTCAAATCTTTCCTAAGATGTCATCTGCTGCCTGTAACATCCCCTGGTGTGTGAGACACATAGACAATGAAGTACCCATGTACAGCGCTTTACAGTTTGAAGTGGGTTTTCTTGGACGTTCTAACCCTCGCAGGCAAGCAGGCAAGCAGGCCTCCAGCTGCCCTCCTCCTAAAGGGCAGAGACAGACTCCTTGACTTCCTGCAGTCCCACTGCTGGTAGGGGCAGAAGCTGGGTTCAAGGCCAGGTCTTGGAGTTCTGGTCTAGTTCTCCATGAACAATCCCCTACTTATCGATGCTTCCCAACTTGAGACTAAAATGAAATTCCAGGGCTGCTTCTGGGGTGTCTGACCTTCCCTTTGGGAATGGGGATCCAGTGACCTATCACTTGCTAGGCTAAGAATTTGAAGGCTGTGGTGGCCCGTATGGCAACAGTGAGTTCCTCTTGCTTGAGCATGTCTTGCAGAAAGAGTGGCTGGCCCTCTTTTAGATTGGCCAGACCAGCCCCGGGCTGTGCCTCTGATCTGGAGCTCCTCTGGGCTGCCTGAGTCTCCGCCACCTGCTTGGAGCCTGTTGAAGGCCTGTCCATAGAGTGGCAGCAGGACAAGGAGAAAGGCAACCGGCTTTGACTTCAGCCTTTGAATCTTTGAGTTTGAATCCCAGGTCACTTACTAGCTTGTCCCACTTGGTGGGACTTTGAACAAGTAACTTCATGCCTCAGTTTCCTCATCAGTGTCATGGGGATAAAAATCCCCAAATAAGTTTGAGGTTGGATTAAGATCATTTATACAAAGAGCCAGGCATATAAGCAAGCAATCAATAAATGGCAGCTCTCTCCCCATCCCCTCCATAAAACTGGCCATAGGAAACACCTGATTGCAGATGGTCTCCTGGGAGGTGGGGTGCTCGAGCTCCGAGTCCAGGAGCCACCAGCGGCGTTTGCCACAGCCCCTGGCCCCTGCAACTGGGCAGGGACTCCCATGGCTTTCTTCGATGCTTGACTCTGTGACTCTGAAGCCCCACAACTGTGGTTGGGAAAACGTGTTGATGATCTCTGCTTCTTCTGCTTCTCATAGCTCTCCATGGCAGCTCAGTGCTCCAGCAGGCCCCTGGGTCCATACTGGTTCAGACCAACCAGAGGGTGATAATGTCCTGTGAAGCCAAAACCTCCCCCACTAGCACACGCATCTACTGGCTGAGACAGCGCCAAGCTCCGAGCCCGGACAGTCACCACGAGTTCCTGGCCTTCTGGGATTCCGTAAAAGGGATTGTGTATGGCCAAAATGTGGAGCAAGAGAAGCTAACTGTGTTTCCGGATGCAATGCGGTCCATTCTCAATCTCACAAGAGTGAAGCCAGCAGACAGTGGCATCTACTTCTGCATGACCATCGGGACCCCTGAGCTGACCTTCGGGAAGGGAACTCAGCTGAGTGTGGGTAAGAATCTAGCTCAATGCTGTTGATGAGCATGGAGCACCTGCTGGGTGCTGGGTGCGTGCCAGGCACCGGAGCTGCCTCCGCTCTCAGCCGCCCCCCCCCGCCCCTGCCCCCGCCCCACAGGAGAGAGTGCCAGCTAGCACCGTAGCTGGTAGGAACGGACTTACCCAGAGCCAGGCAGAGGCAAGTGTTCTATGTAGTCATTTCAGTCCCCGCTGCCATCTACCCTGGGAGGTAAGATGCTGATTCCTATTGCAGATGGGATGCTTCAAAGCATTGCTGCTTCTTCTGGGGACAAGGCGGTGCTGTCCTTCAGCCACATCAGGTCTCCCTGAGGCTCTGCCTAGATTGGGCTGAGTCCTGGGGCCTAACAGTGGTCTCAGAAACTCCCACTGAGTGTGCACACCAGGAAAGAAGGTCATCACTGCCTGGACATACCCAGTGAGAGCATTTCTAGGGCCGGAGGATGCCCTTACATACTGAATGGGTTGGGGGAAGCTGTGGCTCATACCCACACCCAGAGGTACAGGGAGGAAGGAGACTGGACCCCAGGCCTAGCTGCAAATTCTGCTGCATATTCATTGTGTGCCTTTGCACTGGGGTCCCTCTGCTCCCTGGGCCTCAGGTTTCCCATCTGTTTCACGGGGCTGCCGTTGGCCTCCATGACCCCTCCAACCCCGAGAAGCTGCAGTTCTGGGAGTTAAGTCAGCACGCCCCATAGAAAGAGATGATAAGCCACAGATGTGATTTAAAAATTTCTGATGCCACGTTAAAAAAAGTAAAAAGAAACAAGTGGAATTAATTTCAATACTGTATTTTTAACCAGTTTATCAACAATACCATTTAACTTGTAATCAATATGAAAATTATTATTGAAATATTTTGCGTTCCCTTTTCATACTAAGTGTTCGATGTGTTTCTTACCCACCGCACACCTTGAGTGAGACTGGCCAGTGGCACAGAGAGCAGCTGGCCACACTCTTGGACAGTGAGGAGTAAGCTCTGAGAGGTGTGAGGGAATCATGGCAGAAATTCTCAAAGGCCTGCACCTGACTTTAGCCCCCTCCCCACGTTAGCCAACGGCCGGCCGACCCCCTGCGCTCCTCCCACTGTCCTGCTTCCCTCTCACCTGGGTTCTTCTCAGGCTGGGGGCTGAAGAATGACAAGGGGACCCCCCCTTCCCAGGAACTGGACCACTCAGCATGGGAAGATGCAGAGACAGCTGGGGCAGCAGCACCATTAGGAAGAAAGAAACAGGGGTGTAGCTGTCTCATCTCACCAGCTTTGGGTCTTCAGTCAGGAGGTAGGGGTGGGGGCGAGATCTCTGGGCAAGAAGCCGAGGCATGCTCAGTAGGGTGTCGACTGATTCCTATATTGAAAATTGGGCTTTGGGGGGTTTGGGGTTTTGGTTTGGTTTATTGTTTTTGTCTCTACAAGCCTCACATTTTCCCACTCATGAGATTTTGGGGTCTGAGGAAGGTAGATGATGAAATAAACAAAGCTGGTTTCTAGAAGCTTCCCCTCCACCTACACCACCCCCACTCACTCCTGGCTTTGATATTTCCAAGCCCCTCATGCTGCTCAGCTCCCTGAGAATAGCGGACCCTTCCCAAAGCATGTGCTTGCACCTCGCCAGAATTAGGGTATCCAGAGCCACACCCCGCCCTTCCTGCCAGAGGTCAGCACATATTGAAGGAGGAACCTCAGGTAGTAAAGAAAGTATTGGAGAAAGACAGGGCCTTTTGGGGGCCGCTTAACCATACCATGGGCTCAAAAGTCCTGTCCTTTTCAAAGAGGAGAGAAGTGGGGAGATTAGAACGGGGACAGGGGGAGTCAGGAGTCATCAAGGGGACCCAGCTCTGGGCAAGAAGAAACTAAAATGGAACAAGCCTCCCCACAAACCCCTCACCAGACACAGACACCGAGCCCAACCAAGACGCTGAGGTGCTATAGACTGGCTCCCCTGCAGGCTTCCCACTGACCAGCCAAGAGACCTCTGTGCCTCCTCGTGTATAAAGTAAAGGGAAGGGGCACTTCCGGGGCCGTGAGGAGGAAAGGAGGAAACAATGCTGGGCCCCCACTGGGCAGAGGGCCACGCTCCCGCACACTTTGGGAGCACCATAGCCAGTGTCCTTTTCCCTTTTATGCTAGTTTCCCTCAGCATTCCCATGGCCGAGGGCCTTGACCTGATGTGCCTAACTTTTTGTTAGAAAGCATTTGCCCCTGAGGAAGGGTGGCGTCGTGAGAGCCTGGAATCAGGGTCTCTTGGCTCAGATCCTGGTAGTGCTGTTTAAGGCTTCCTGAACTTTAGACGAGCTATTTCAGTTCCTTGAGCCTAGGCCTCCTCGGGGATAAGATGGGGGTCCTAGTGCCTGTCCCAAAGTTGTTGGGTTCAATAAGCTTAAGCTTAAGCTCAAGTGCTTGGCTGTGCCCCTGGCACATGGTGAGACTTAGTAGGGGTTCGTTCTAGTTAGTTGGTTCTCCCCAGAAACCTCATGAAGCAGGCAGAGGATGCGTGTTATCTCCACTTTCCAGAGGACACTCAGGCTGGCGAGGGTCCACAGTGTCCACTTCTTATGGAAGATGCCAGCTCCGAAATGGCCATTTCCTGGCGGCCCCTCTCTGTCCCCTTGACACTAGAGTTTAAATTTATGGTGTCACTATCTTCCCTCTCCTACCGTTTTGCAGAAAGTCATTGCAGTGAAGCGTCTTTGCTCACCTCACAGAGACAAGGGTTGGATTCAGCAGCACCCGGTGCTCACAGCATTCCTAGCACCTCAGAGCCTCTGGTGCCTTCCTTGGCTCAGTGTGCTTGTCCCCCTGCCCTGCCCCAGCACATCACAGTGTGACACTGGATTAGAACGGAAGAGAGGAGTGACCCACCCAGGCGTCAGGAGAGGGGTTGGTGGGGCCAGGCAGGCACATTGCACTGTGGGGCCTCGGGGCCAGCCCCTCACATCGCTGGTGTTCATCTTTGAAATTAAAGGTTGAGACTAGAGGTCGTTCCAGCTCTGATAGTATATGATTTGTAAAGACACTTGAGAAGGAAAGAAAATCCCCATTGCAACCTGCATGCTATTGTACATATGGGAAAGGGCACCCACCTCCTTTCCATGAGCTTCCTCCAACCACTTAGGAATTAGCAGTTTGGCTGAGGGGCTGGTCTTGTCAAGGGTTTGGGGACTCTGGCGTCCTCTCAAGGTCTTCGGCCAGGGGGAGCCTGCTGAGGCCAGGGGGAGCACAGTTCGCTGGGCATGCTATCCCCTTTAATTCTCATGAAAATCCCGAGAAGGAACTGGGAGTCATCTTTATTTCAGCAGATGGGGAAACTGAGGCACAGAAAAGTGATAGGACTTGCCCCAAGTCACACAGCGGTTAATCAGCGCTGCTGGGGCTCTGTTCAGGACCATATGGATGCAGAGCCCCTCTCTTTCCTGGACAGCAAAACAACCCCCTGCCTAGGCCCTCAGTTAGGTCTGAGAGTTGGGAAAACACCTAGAAAATTCTATCGCTCTGTAACCTTGGAGCCCTGTAGCAGCCTAGTCATAGAGGCTTTAGTACCTGGATGGAAGACATGAGATTTTAACTTTTGTCTGGAACTCCACCCACTGTTTACATGTCTTGCTTGCTTTCTGTAGTTGATGTCCTTCCCACCACTGCCCAGCCCACCAAGAAGCCCACCCCCAAGAAGAAAGTGTGCCGGTCCCCAAACCCTGTGACCCAGAAGGGTGAGTTCTCCCATCTTCCTGGACCTTCAGAAGCACAGCAGGATGTCTTCCTTCCCTCCCTCCCTCCCTCCTTCCTTCCTTCCTTCCTTCCTTCCTTCTTTCCTTCCTTCTTTCCTTCCTTTCTTCCTTCCTGCCTTCCTTCCTTCCTTCCTTCCTTCCTTCCGCAAGCCCTTCCCACCTGTGGACTCTAGCCTGTTTCTCTGGCCCCGCCCAAGCTGAGATCAGAAGGGAAGTTGAGTATGACCACAGTGCTGCCCTCCAGCAGCTCACAGTCTAGTGGGGGACATGCTTACAAATCATCACAGGGCAAAACCTAATGGAGGCTATGTCCACCCCCAAAACCTGCACACCAGTGTTCCTAGCAGCATTACTCATAATTGCCAAAAAAGTAGAAGCTCAGAAACCCACCAACTGATGAATAGATTACCTAAATATGGAATATCCATACAATGGAATATTATTTGGCCATCATAAACAGTGAATTACTGATACAAGCTACAATATGGATGAACCTTGAAAATATTACACAGTGAAAGAAGCCAGACACAAAAGATCCTGTATTATGGGATCCCATTGATAAGAAATGTCCAGAATATGACATTTCACAGAGACAGAAAGTAGATGAATGGTTGCCTAAAACTGGGGGGTTGGGAAGGAATGGGGAATGATTGTTAATAGGTACAGGATTTTTTGTGGGGTGAGATGAAAATGTTCTAAAATTAGATTGTGGTGATTGATGGTTGCACAACTCTGTGAATATACCAAAAACCATCAAATTATACACTTGGAGCAGGTGAACTTTATATGTAAAATCTATCTCAGTAAAGCTGTTAGCAAACAAAAGTACCAAACCCAAAGGACCAAAACTTTAAAGTTTCTCAGTTTGGATGCTTACCAGAGGACCTAACACACAGTGTGTGCTAATATGTGTTTGTTAATGAGTGAACAAACTTCCGTCTCTGTGCTATA